TGGGGTGTTTTGTTTGTGTTGTTCGTCTATTCAGTTACGAATATGACCATGTCAGACGACAATTAAGAAACATTCAGCGGTGTGTCAGCAGATGGCTGATGAGACTGATGCGGGCATAGAAGCCCCTGCCACAGGTCTGGCAGCAGAGAGTTGGAGGCGAATTGGTGGGATTTTTGGCTGAAGCCTTTCTTTCCCTGCATTTATCTTTGGCAACATTGGATCGTTGAACTTCGGAGTGGAGGGTGCCCTTGTGAATCATGCTATGCCAGGCTGGTCTGTCAGATGCTGCGTTTTCCCATGTGATGTCAATGTTGAAGTCTTTGAGGTAAGCTTTCAAGGAGTCTTTGAAGCGCTTGCGCTGTCCTCCTACCTTCCTTGCCCCATGACTAAGCTCACTGTACAGCAGCTGCTTGGGTATTCTGGAGTCTGACATTTAGACGACATGACCTGCCCAGCGTGTCTGTGCCTTACGCATGGTGGTGATGATACTGGGGAGCTGTGCCCTCTCCAGCACCTCAGTGTCCGGGATCTTGTCCTGTCAGGAGATTTTGAGGATGCAACGTAGAGACCAGAGATGGAACTGATGGAGTTGTTTCTCATGTCTCCTATAAATAGTCCAGGTTTCACAGCCATAGAGGAGAGTGGTCAACACAACAGCTCTGTAGACTTTGACTTTAGTGCAGTGTGAGATTCCTCATTGTTCCCAGACTGACTTCTTCAATCTTGCGAATGCGCTGCTGGCCTTAGCAATGTGGTTGATGACTTCGTCACTGGGGTATAACGCTCTAATGAAGGGCTATTGCTCGAAATGTCAGTTTTGAAACTCTTTACAGTAGCCAATTAACATCATAAACTCAGTTGATGAAACCATATAAATATTATACTCCTCCACTGAAGCAGCGCCACAGTTTCTCTAGAAACTAACCCCCTTTATTCATCAGTATATATAAGACAGTTTGGTTTTATCAAGTTGAACTGAACTAATAATTAAAGTGAATTGGCCATCATAGAGTGATTCTCTCGCTGATGTTTCATGCATTGTACAAATACTTTGTGTAGTCTCATTGTCTGGGAGAGAGAATTTTTCCTATTGTCCCCATCACCAACAAGTTAGAGTTCTTTTCACAACTACCCCGACCTGCAATCAGAATTAATTTACACTTGCTGTACTCAAGAGACCAAGATGTGGACTCTTCTTAAAAATCTTACTACTACAAAGAGTATCTAATTTCATTTTTACTACTACCGTATTTCTTCACCTATAAGCCGATCTCGGCTATAAGCCGAGACCCTGACTTTCAGGGTCTTTACGCTACACTCAAGCTGCCCAAAAAAAAAGGTAAAACCATCGGCTATAAGCCGAGAGCGAAATTATTGATTGTAACTGGCCATTTGAGCAAGCGAACCTCACGGAAAACATAAGAAATTGACTCACTAAACACAAAACCTAATGAATTACAATAAACACAAAAGAAAAAAAGCGAACCAATCAAGAGATATGAATATCAATTGATCCAACGAACTGTATAAATACTACCACGCGACAACAGATTAACCACAACAACAATAATAATCTCAGTTAAACGTTTCAAAGTATCAATCTATCGAGTATACCTTTCGTCGCTGTCACTTTTTATCATCATGCCTAAAGCACGCCGTTCCTCGTATAGTATGGCTTTCAAGATAAAAGTTATCGCGGAAGCTGAAGCGGTAGAAAACAACTCGGAAATCGCTCGAGAATATGGACTAAGCGAGTCCATGGTACGACGCTGGAGAAGAGACCAGGCGACTATTCTTTCCGGAGAGCTGAAGATGTCTGCAAAACGTGCGACGATGGGCCGTTTCACTCCGAAATATCCCGAACTAGACCAGCAAGTGATGGAGTGGTTTTCACAGCAAAGAGAACAAGGTTGGTATTTACTTTTCTGTCTAAAATTTTAAGAGTTTTTGAAGAGTTGAATGATATCGTCTTTCAGTGCGTGGGAAACAGAGACTTTGATTGGTCAGAAATATGTTGTTGTCATGACAATTTCATAACATGTCACGAAAAGAGTGCTGCAGTCACGAATCTACGGTTATCTCGCAGCAAAATAAGATTGTTATTTTATTTTTCGTAGGTATTGCGGTGAGTGGATTGATCCTTCGCCTTAAAGCTAAAGAGCTCTCCGATGATCCTGCTTTCAAAGCTTCCCGTGGATGGTACGAGAAATGGAAACGACGCCACTCGGTCAGCATGCGAACCAAAACAACTCTGGCCCAGCGATTGCCCGCCGATCTCGAAGAGAACATTGTGTGCTTTCATCGCTTCGTCATTGCAGCAAGAAGACGCGCCGACTACCCTTTATCCCGCATCTACAACATGGATGAGACACCCATGCGTTTTGAGCTGCCATCGAACCGAACACTGGAATTCAGTGGAAGCCGAACAGTGCCAGTAAAATCTTGCGGAGCGGAAAAGCGGAGCTTCACCGTCGTTCTTGCTGTTGCTGCCGATGGAGCAAAGGTGCCACCGAAAGTCATCTTCAAAGGCGTCCGTACACCGAGAGATCTGGTTGTGCCGCATCCTCTTCGTGTTTCCTTCCATAAGAAAGGGTGGATGGATGAACAGGGCATCCGAGAATGGATTCGACAGAGTTTGCCCCGTGCCGAGCGTTCCCTTTTGGTGTGGGACTCATTCCGAGCTCACTTGACCGATTCCGTGAAAGATGACCTGAAGCAGCGAAACATTGACGTCGCAGTTATCCCTGGTGGCCTAACCCCGGTTGTACAGCCCTTGGATAAGTGCCTAAACAAGCCATTTAAAGATAATGTGCGCCGAAAGTACTTGGCGTGGATGACATCTGGGCCATTTGAGTTTACCCCAGCTGGGAAGAAGAAGGCGCCAAGCAGAAATCTTGTCCTCAGGTGGATCAAGGAAGCATGGGCAGAGATACCCGAAGAGATGGTTGTCAAATCCTTCAAGACCTGCGGTATTTCCAATGCCTTGGACGGAACAGAGGACGACGTGGTCTACTCTGAGGAAACCCCAGAAGTAGATGATGAATACATAGAAGAGAACGAGTTCGACACAGACAGCGAAAACGAAACGGATGGCGAGTAAACCATTGGGTTGAAAGCCCTTGCACGTATCCGTCAAACGGCTCCTTTAGGAGCCACCAATTTCATAAAAGTGAATAACCAATATTCAGAAGTTATTTTTGTTGTGTTTTATTACTTCTGCTTCATTGCTAACTTGACTACAAGCCGGGGGGGTAAAGTTATTCAGCAACTGTATATTTTTAAAATGTAAAACCCTCGGCTATAAGCCGAACCCCGTTCTCCGTGAAAAATCTCCCAAAATTTTGGGTCGAAAACTGAAAAAATCGCTCGGCTTATAGGTGAAGAAATACGGTAAGGGGATGGAAAAGTTACATGCATAGTTATATCAAAGAAATGATACACTGAGTTGAAGACAGCCGAGGATTTAAGAGGTACTATCAAAATGGACAGTGGAGGCAAATTAAGAAGGCAAGATCCCAGCCAAAAAGAAGGGACAGAAGTAAAGTTCCTACCTCCACAAAAGGATTTCCAGTGGTTCCCTAGGACAACAAGCAGTATTAGGACATTGGATACACAACAACAAAAAATCTAGTACATAGCTTTGAAATGTAGAAATGAGAAGTGGGGGTGTTTAAAGGATTTTAGACATTGCTCTAATAAGTCTTATAGAATGATGTCGTAAATTACATTTTTGAGTTCAAAAGATACTTTTTTACACCCTTAGGAAAAAAAGTCCTCAAATGTTCATAGCAATAACAAGAGATATATATATATATTTATATATAAAAACTGAGAGGGAAATCAAACCCCGACAAAGGAAATTACTAACAATTAATAATTGTAACTAATGAAAGGAGCAACAGGATTTGCTTCACACACATGTGCACACAACTGTATTCAGTAAATGGTTTACATCCAGCTACAGCAGTTCATTGTGGAGTATGAATAAAGGAGGTCAGTTTGTAAAGAAACTTTGGTGCTGAGTCACTGGGTTGTTGTGTTTGTGTTGTTCATCTATTCGGTTACGAATATGACCATGTCAGACAACAATTAAACATTCAGCGGTGTGTCCGCAGATGGCTGATGAGACTGATGCGGGCATAGAAGCCCCTGCCACGGGTCTGGCAGCAGAGAGTTGGAGGCGAATTGGTGGGATTTTTGGCTGAAGCCTTTCTTGCCCTGCGTTTATATTTGGCAACATTGGATCGTTGAACTTCGGAGTGGAGGGTGCCCTTGTGAATCATGTTATGCCAGGCTGGTCTGTCAGATGCTGGGTTTTCCCATGTGATGTCGATGTTGAAGTCCTCGAGGTAAGCTTTCAGGGAGTCTTTGAAGTGTTTGCGCTGTCCTCCTACCTTCCTTGCCCCACAACTAAGCTCACTGTACAGCAGCTGCTTGGGTATTCTGGAGTCTGGCATTCAGACAACATAACCTGCCCAGCACGTCTGTGCCTTACGCGTGGCGGTGATGATACTGGGGAGCTGTGCCCTCTCCAGCGCCTCGGTGTCCGGGATCTTGTCCTGTCAGAAGATTTTGAGGATGCAATGTAGAGACCAGAGATGGAACTGATGGAGTTGTTTCTCATGTCTCCAATAAATAGTCCAGGTTTCACAGCCATAGAGGAGAGTGGTCAACACAACTGCTCTGTAGACTTTGACTTTAGTGCAGTGTGAGATTCCTCATCGTTCCCAGACTGACTTCTTCAATCTTCCGAATGCGCTGCTGGCCTTAGCAATGCCGTTGATGACTTCGTCACTGGGGTATAACGCTCTAATGAAGGGCTATTGCTCGAAATGTCAGTTTTGAAACTCTTTACAGTAGTCAATTAACATCATAAACTCAGTTGATGAAACCATATAAATATTATATATACCTGCAATCAGAATTCATTTACACTTGCTGTACTCAAGAGACCAAGATGTGGACTCTTCTTAAAAATCTTAAGACTACAAAGAGTATCTAATTTCATTTTTACTACTACCTTTATTCCATTTGGTGTAGGAGCTCTCTTGGATGGACTTGATGCTGGAATGCTTTCAAAACTGAAATGAGCATGAATAAATATTAAATAAACAAATTAATAGATAAATAAAGGCACTACACTGCAAATTCAGCTACACCAGGGTATCACTTTTTGCCATTTTCAACTTGTTTTCTACATAATTATGTCATCTTTATAATGGCTCCTGAGAGGGTAAACTCAACAATAAACAGATATCAGACTTTGATTACCATCTAGCAAATTTGTTGCTTTGTGTCTGTAGAGTAATAAATCATATCATAGATGGTGTCTACATGACAGCTAGTAGGTCAGCTGATAATGCCTGAGACCAATAGATTGTCCAAAAAATAAATACAGAGTGGCTCACCATTCGTTATTATTATAAACTAGCTGTTTTCAAATGCACACATAAAGCTTATAACGGAAGGCTGCCTAGCGCCTTATCGGTAAGTATTTGTATTGTAAAGAAGAGTGATCTTTCATACTCAATTAGAGCACGCGATTCATTAATAGTGCCACATTTTAACACACTTTTTATGAAGGACTCTGTTGCATATAGAGGCTCTGTGCTTTGGAATACCCTGACTTCCAAATATACTGATCTTGTTGATGCAAGCCATCATGAGCTTGCCAAAAAACTCAAAACTTCAGAACTTTTTAAGGCCGTTAAATTCAACGTAGTATCAACATTGACTGCTAGTTTTGAACTTGAAGATTTTGTATACATCTAAAATTAATGTAAATTGATCGCTTCAATATCGCACTTATGGCATTCAATACACTTTAATTTGCTTTAATTCTATTTCATGTTTAGCTGTATTTGATTTTAATTAAGTAGTATTTTATTGTACATGACCCCACAAGCTTTTAGCTTTCATACATATCATGTATAAATAAAGATAACCAATAACCAACCAACTTGGCTGAAAGGGAAGCTACCAGGGCAAATGTGAAATTTTGAGGACAATGTCTTTTTTGCCAAGGACATTATCATGCAGCATACCACCGAACCAGAAAAAAAAAAGGTTGGGGAAGATTCAGTGATTTTTTTCCCATACTCATGACAAGTCAAAATAACATCTTTCTTTACTTCATTTCCAAGCTCAAAATTTACCCTGTTTCTTACTCTAGTTACAATGTAGATGTTGTACAAGGTTTAAAATGAATTTCCAGTCAAAATGATCTCAAGCTGGTTTAAATTATTTTACATAATCCTTCCACAAAGAAAAACAAACTGTGTGGAATTCATGTTAAACTGAATTACAGCAACATTTGATACAAGTGAGCAAGTAAGTGAGTACTTACCCAAAGCCCTCCAAGGGTTTAGCTTTGATTTCTTGGTATATTGCCTGAAAAAAATTTATTTTCATTATCTTCTACAATGTCTTAATTTCAATACTAAGTTAACAACGTAATAACCACTAACTAGCTTTGATTTCTTGGTATTTTTTTATTGCCTGAAAACAAGTTATTTTCATTATCTTCGACAATGTCTTAATTTCAATACTTACATAACAACGTAATAACCACTAACAGTTAACCAAAATAGAAAACAATGGGAAAATGCAAAATACAGCTGACTTATGAAATAAGTTTAATGTGGAATAATAAATTATTATAT